ATGTCTAGACTAGCCCTGAAACATGTATAATCAGGGAGAATATGTGCTAGACTAGCCCTGAAACATGTATAATCAGGAAGAATATGTGCTAGACTAGCCATGAAACATGTATAATCAGGGAGAATATGTGCTAGACTAGACCTGAAACATGTATAATCAGGTAGAATATGTGCTAGACTAGACCTGAAACATTCATAATCAGGTAGAATATGTGCTAGACTAGCCCTAGAACATCCATAATCAGGAAGAATATGTGCTAAACTAGCCCTGAAACATGTATAATCAGGGAGAATATGTACTAAACTAGCCCTGAAACATGTATAATCAGGGAGAATATGTGCTAGACTAGTCCTGAAACATCCATAATCAGGGAGAATATGTGCTAGACTAGTCCTGAAACATGTATGATCAGGAAAAATATGTCTAGACTAGTCCTGAAACATGTATAATCAGGGAGAATATGTGCTAGACTAGCCCTGAAACATGTATAATCAGGGAGAATATGCGCACGACTAGCCCTGAAACATTCATAATCAGGGAGAATATGTGCTAGACTAGCCCTGAAACAGTCAAAACAATTTAAAGGGATTGTAACGTTTTTAACCCCTTTAATGAAAGAATGCAATCAGAAGTGGAACTCCTAAAACGTAATAATAATTTAAAATAGAATGATATCATTGTTAACTTTATTCAAGATGCCTGGAACACAATTTCATATTTTCTCCCTTTTCCAAAAATTGTAAATATAAAGATAAAAAAATATTCCAAAATATTAAAATTCTTACAAAGTATATTTTGTATTTGTAATGAAAAAAGTCCAGGTGTGCAATAAGTGAAATGAGTTGATGCTTGAAAAATATTAACCTGTATCTGGGAGAAAGCCCGTCAGTTCTCAAGCATTCATGATCCATATCCAATCCAGTTTCCTAAATAGGAATTTGCACATGCAAGAAAATGTGTGACAGGCTCCTTGCAGTGCATATGCAAATACTAATCCAATATTAACAATATCCTGTTTTCGACCGGGAGTTGTATGCAAACAATACACCAACCTTGATCAAACATAGGGTTGCGGGAAGTTGGGATATTGCTGGCAAGTCAGTTTTAAAGAAAATATGTATCTATTGTGTATTTACTTATTTCCATGTACATGCTGATCCCTTTTAAATGGATTGCAATTGAGTGCAGTGCTCCGTGACTTCTTAAATGGACTGTCTACGTGATTTCAAATGACCTTTAGTTTAAAGAATTCAAACAGTTGCATACCCGTTGCACAACAGTAAACCCTTTAAACCGTCGTCTGAACATAATCGAGAAAGGTTTTCCTTGTTTATCTTTATATATTTTTTAATTCACATAATTCAAAATTAAGGATGAAAAACAACGACAGTTCACTCTTTGAACTGCTCAGGTTAATGTTTTTTTTTGTACAATTGTTTATCAGACATGCAACTCTTTAATTTGGAGGTAAAAATTATATTACGTTACAGTCCCTTTAATTGTTTTTAGCTGACCTTATCATAGAATCCCAGTATATCAGAGAGATGAAGCTTAAAAGAGCTGGCCAGGGGTCCTCTGCAAGTAAAATCATCGTAACTATGAGATAATAATAACAAGCCGGAGTGCCCAACGTTGTCCAGGTTTATATTACTATTCATAATCATAGTTATTCCAGTCGTTTACCCGAGCTAGGTATTAAATCAAGATTTTAGCTCAAGTGCCCGGCGTTGCCCAGGAAATTTCAAAAACTTTTCAACATTTTTTTTGGCCTATGTCATCTCTCGAGGTTTCCATGACTACCTTAAAACTATTTTAGGCCATTTTGTCCAGCTATAATATATATAAAATGTAGCCAAGAGTTTTATTATACAAATAATAATTAAATCAAATCAAATTATATATTTGGCCATAAACAGTACATGTAAAATGGAT